AGCACCTGTTGGGCAACTCTCAAGAGATGCCCTGGGGCCACAGCACAGCCCTGCCCTTCGGGCTGCAGAAACTTGAAAGAAAAAAAAGGCAAGAAAAGGGAGAAGCACCTGAAGTGTTTATTTGTTTACTAAGTAGGACCCTCAGAAATTGGGAGAAAGGAAAGCAAAGGTCTCCTCTCAAGCAGATCAGCACATCCAAAGGAAAATACAGTAGTGAAACCCTTTTTCTCTTCAGAGCAAAACAAGCATGCCAGATTCACTGTCCAGGGGCTGACAAGTCCACAGCTTTATGCTTAGGCAGAACTTTYATTTATTTTCTCCTTCTAAGACAGTAACACAGAATGGAGAGAATGGCCAACAGCTTTAAAAGTATCTCAGTATTATGGGTCTGCCTCTTTACTTAAGCACATATAAATAAGTGCAAAACATCAAAGGATGAAAAACACTTCTTAAGTTTGTCTTAGTGAGGAACCACAGTATCTTTTGCCTAGAACTGGGAAGTTAGCTGCCTTATGTGCAGACATGGGAGAAACCTTCCACAGCAGTTAGCATCCACATTAAAAACAAATAGATCAATATATACATACCGTCACTTCTTAAGTGCTCAGGTATCTCAAGTCAGATGGTTCTCCCCATACTCACCCCCATTTTTTTTAAGATACAGAAGCTGAAGGACTCTAAAAGTAATTCAAGTTTTCTTCACTATCACAAAGATAAAGATACYTAGGAATGAAAGCAGAGATTCTTACACAGCTGTAGGATCTTGGGCTTCAGCATCATAGAGCACATGATAAAACGAAGTTGGACAAGCCGAGATGGGCGCTGTGTTCACCCAGGCACTGAAGGAGTCAGTCGAGCACGAGTACTGAAGAAATAAATTCATTTTAGCCTCACCATTTTGGTAAACTCTGTAACAGCACATATTGTTAATCACACTCCCTCACCCTTTGCTAACAGCAGCCAAGTGCTTTACCAGGTATTTCAGCGAGAGCCTCCTCATGGGGTTTCCTGCACCTATTGACTTGACCTCCCTGTTGTCTCCAGCGGGCTCCATGGCAGGACTTGAAGGAACCCCTGTTGTTGAGGGCTCTGCTTCTCCCCTAGGTGTGGGTGGCTTGGGCCGCAGCTTATCCAGCTCCATGGCCCAGCTCCCAACTCCAAGGGCGCCGCTGGGTACGGCGCTTGCCACCAGCACATACCTCTTGCTGTTGCCTTTACTTTACACGAGGTTTCAACACGCCTCAGAAAGGCTGTTCCTGCGCACACCCTGGGAGAGTCCAAAGCTTTACTGCCCGGTTTGAGGGGGAGGCACCCGCTGGCACCGCGGCCTGCAAGGGAGTCAGCGAGGAACCTGCTGGTGGGGGAACCTTCTAGCGYTCAGGACCTCAGGCCTGGGCCACTTGTAGGCCTTCAACACCTTCATCTCACCCCAGTTAGGGTTTTTGGGGAAAAATGCCTGAGGAAGCAACACCTTCCACAAGATGCGATCAGCAATGCTGTAATATAAACATGGAAAGAAAACTGAATGCGATACGCATAAAGCCTAAGCCCTTACAAAATGTAAAGTATTTAGCTATGCAGTCCTCTCTCAAGCCAAAGTCAATAAAACCCATTTTTGTCCCTATTAGGCAGAATGGCCAGCACACATTTTGTAATACGAAGTTCCAGACTGCTTTTTGGATTGGAAAATAAAGAATGCCTTGTTATATAAGTTGCATTCGTTTTAAATCCATGCCTTTTTTGCACCTCAACTTTTAGTTGAGATCCTTCTAAAGAAAGTGGGTATCTTCCTAGGACCTGGGGCACAAGCAGTATCTGAGGATGTGCTGTGCAAAAATGGGACGGTACCTAGACAGTTTGCTGTGACTTAAGCACTGTGCAAAAGGATTACCAGACAATTCAAGTGCAACTGAGCTCTGTTGGTAAAACTACAATTGTAAAGTATAAACCAACAGCTTTTACTCTTTAAAACCATAATTAGGTTCAATAAAAGTTATATTGATATAGTCCTTTATGTTCCAARTAAACATTTACAGTACCTTAAAGTATTCTACACTATCTCTAGCTGGAAAACAATCTTTTCTGACCATTTTAAAGACAGATCACTGGAAATTTAAGGTTAGAGATGCATGTTTTCAGACATCTTTAGAATTTAAATACAATACATAAAAGGATATTTTCTAAATTAACAGTTCCACTAGCATAGGTACCACAGTCAATTTTTGGTGTAAGCCACTAGCATACATCTGGSATCTAAAGACATGAAGATAGTTAAAAAGCACAACTTTTAAAAGAAAAAAATAAAGAATACAAATAGACCACAGACAAAACTAAAACCACATATACAGAGATACCAGGAAGATATACTTTAGCAGTCTCCATCCATGAAACCTCTGTACTTATAGCTCTACAGCTTGATATAACAACACCTTCCTGCAGGAAACCTCATTGTGAGGTTAATCACATCACCAGTGACTCTGATATATATTAAAAAAAAAAATAAATAAAATCCCTGCTATCAGATCCTCATCTTTCAGAGCAGTGAACAACRTCTGAGAGTTAATGTTTATTTTCAATTAGTTAGGTGTGTCCAGCTAGCTAAAGTTCCTGATTAAACATTAATTCAGTTTTAATATTGAATAAAGTGTACTTACATAGTATTTTACAATTAAAAAAAATCTTTCAGAATCCAGAGTTTAGATTTTCAATTTTTATTATGAATTACATTCACAGTGCAAGGCATATTACATAAAAAGCTATACAACAAACATACAAAGAGTACATAAAGCACGTACCATTCTATAATTCATATGGTAACTGATGCAAGTTTGTTTAGGCTGGGAGTTTTCTTAATTCCTGCTAGAATGTCAAAAGATAAATAAMTGCACTGGGAACCCCTCTGTTATTCAAATTTGAAAAAAAATAACTTTATAGTTCTATGTATGYTTTCAATGTAAAAAATAAAATAAAAACCAGCATACTCTTTGCGAGGGCTGAGAGGGGAAGTGCTCTCTGTTTAAAGCCCAGTTAGCAGTCAGTCCTTCATCTTGTCCTCCAATAAAGACAGTCACAAAATCCATTCAGCACTTTGTTTCCAGCTCAAGTTGAAGATACAAAACTATAAAAGTAACATACACGTGGCAGCAGTAAGCTTAGACATATCATAGGCAAATGTTGAGAGACCACAGTGGTGCAATACATTTACTGCTTGGAGAAATTCCACAGTGAGAGTGTGGAAATACAGTGCACAAAATCCTAGCTCACTGTCAATCCCAGACAAACGCGCTGAGTGTGTGTGTACCTGGAGCAGCTCCTGCCGCGCTCCCGGCCAGCTCCTCCTAGCCTCCATCGCGGCTTTCAGCTGTTTGCACAGCCTGTGCTCTCACAATGCCTGAAATAAAAATAAAAATACACACACATATCCCCTTGGCTGACTAAGTGCAAATATAAAGTGGTAGTTTCTATTACCAARCAGAATTTGGTGCCGGTTTGATCTCATTTCATTTTGTCAAGTAAAGGTATTCCATGAAAACAACCCTTTCCTGACCTTTGGTGTGATAGTTGTTCAGAGACTTCAGGAGACTCCCTTTCTCATTTAATCTACACACAATTTTAGTATGAGGGCCTAAGGACGTATTTCTGATACATGGTTGAGAGACTAGAATTTGCCAAAGCAGAAACAAAATGACCATTCAGAACATGTYCTGGGTGTGAGAGAAGCGAGAGTTTCTGAGGAACACATCGATTCTTTCATATGGTAAATCCTGAATAATAATAATAATAATGATGAGAGACATTTTCAGCCACCTACTCTCGGCAGCTCTAGAGCAACAAAACCAATGAATCAAGAAACTCACTTTCAGTTAACATGTAGAAGATTTTACCTTCGGATGGGTCACCCTTACRAAGGAATTACTGGTTTAGCAGCTCGACACAGCCCAGGTGTGTTCAATAAGTTGTAGAGGCTACAAAAATTGGCAAGCCACTATTTTAACTAGGACACGCTGAGCACTCAACCTGTTCAAGTATAACAGAGGGCATGTAAGCCCAGACATTAAATTTAAGTTCCAGCAGAAAAATCACTGAGGATCTAATGTGCTCAAAGAAGTTGTGTATTTCGTATCTATCTATCGATAGATACACATACCAGTATGCACTATATAGCAACAGGCATCCTTACTGAGCACTGTTCACGAGCATCTCCTACAACGCTAGTAGCACTTCCTTAGTCTGCTTTCTGGAATTAACCCTAAGTTAGTTCTAGTGCACAGTGTAATACTGCACAGCCAGATTTTCTGCTGAGTGCAGAATCCTTTTCTTCGGGGACTAGAAAGAAAAGGTTTTTTTTTAAAGCCAGAGCCCTTCTCTGGGGCCAGGTTGCTGTACATCCCTTGCAACAAACAAGGACGTTGCTGTTGTCTCCTTGCTCTCGAGTCCAAGGGAACCTCCTGTATATCCCCTACATTACTCAAATACCAGAGGCATCTGTAAATACCAGCCCAGACCTCACAGCATCTTCTGCCCTCAAGCTCAAAATGCAGCTTGCAGTACAAGAGCTAGGAAGGGTTTTGCTTCTCAGAAGGCTACAACAACCCTCGGCACAAACGTTGCTGCTAACAGCTTCGCTGARCAACGAAGCTGAAGCAGAAAAAGCAAAACTTATATTTTACAAGATGGCAAGTAATGCTGCTYCTGAAAGCATGCTATAAAAATCACGTCAGACTGAGCTTTCAGAAAAAGTCATCGACTACAACTTCCTTCCTGGCCCCCAGTGAAGACAAATTTGCATGTGGGGAAGATTTGAACCGTAAGTTTCACACAAATGCACTTTCTACACAAAGTGTCTCAGTTAAGAAGTTCACAAGGATTAATGCAACAGGCGTGGACCAGCACTTCGCTTTTCAAATGTGACTTACCATTAAATAGTGGTAAGAGAAAGAAATCACTGCGAAGACAACTTAGGAAAAAAATT